CTGGTACTTTGATTCCAATAGTATCTTAATCCCTGGAAAGTGAAAGAAAGAATCACAAACACCATTTTTAGAAGCCTCATTTAGCAATAGCCACAGGCTAAACACAGGTCTAGCTCAGCTCCAGAATTGCACTTAATTTTACATTTATCTGGAGGAATTTTTAAAACATTTTGATTGTTCTTTTCTGCCTGTATAAAATACATTTGTCTATACCATGCTGCAGCCTTTCATCAGACTATTTAAAAAAAGAATAAAGGAAAGGAAAAAAATTGCCTGCTAGCAGTGGCTGTAAAAATCAGCCAAACCAATTAAGTATGTGACAGGTAATGCAAAAAAGAGATGAAGAGGTAAATTCAAGGGAAATGAGGGAATAAGTTGACAGCATAATTTCTGCCTTAAAGAAAAAGAGCAGGAGCATGTATACAACTTCCTGCCATGACAGTGCATTGGAACAAAGAAATAATTAAGACTTTGTTTCCTGCAGCTTTACTGGTAATAAAACAACAAAGAAGAAACAACAGAGAGATGTTGTATTTAAGTTATGAAGAAAATCAAGAGTGCTTCATGACCAGTTAAAATCTGATGAAGACAAATAGCTAATGTTGATACTTAGAATATTTGCATGCTCATAAGAAAGATACAAAGCCTCAGAGAAGTTAATTTCACTTATACTTAAGGGAAAACATGTTTTTATGCACCCACAAAGCATCATTAGACCTTGTTGCAAATATCTCTCCCACCATCTCTACTGACCATATGCCCATAGGTAGCTTACCTTCAGCTCTTAGCCAGGGGCTGGCAAACTGAGCTCAGAACCAAAAGACCTAGACCCTACCCTATGCATACCAACATAAATATACTGAAGGAGGAAGTTAGGACATGGCTATAGTTAGTCAGGAACAGTCTCCAAGTCCATTTATCAATCTGAATGAGAAACAATCAGTGGGAACCAGGAGGGTGTTGCCCACCCCATCCCCCTTCCCAGGTATCTCAATCTCATTTATGAAACTAAATGAAGAACAATGGAAGGGAGTTAGAGCTTAACCCGTAAAGAGCAGAATGTTCAGAACACATTAGTAAAGCAAGGGACCAAAGCTGTTTTGGGGAAGGCAGGCAAGATAACATGGAAAACTCAGTGGGCCTCAGTCACCTGGGGACCCCCGTGAGCCCAGCCAATCATCAAGAGCCACAATGTGGAGATGCTCAGTGGCTAAGCCCACCTCCTTGCCTACTGTACCCACCTACTTTTGTGGTACCAATGGTTACCCACTTAGTACTTCCCTCTGCTCAGAGACATTTCCTGTCTTTCCTCTTATCTATCCATAAAATTCTTGCTGTTTTGTAACTTTGGTTTCAATGTTGCATTCCTTCCTCACTGAAGACAAAAACTAAGAGCAGCCCCCAGAGGCCTCCAGACCCTCAAAGCCCACTTCAATAGCTGGAGGAGTAGTAAGCAATGTGCAATTACATACCCAGTGGCTGACATTTTGGTAAAATGCTAAAGAACACATCACGTCATCTTTACAAGGTATTAAAGATGATGTCATTTTTGGAGGTCAGGGTCCTTGGGTTCACTGTGTGAAAAATTTCACCAGAGCTCCCCTTTCAGCGGCATGCAGTGAGTTCTCAGGTGAGTTTCTCCATGAGATAGACTTGGTTATATTTAAAGAGAAAGTTTATTAGGGAAAGAACGGGAGTATGGAACACTTGCATAGGCACAAGTGAGTAGGAAGATCTGCCCCAAAAGGGACAGGCTTGCTGAAAGGCCTGCATGATAGCATGTAGGCAGCCTTAGGAGAGCTGCCTCCACTGAGGGAGATCCATGTAGAGAAGTCCCGGCATAGTACAGGTCACAGGCAGGCAGGAGGCTGCTGCCCTGCGGAGGGAGAGAGCAGGTGGCAAGAAGAACCTGCACAGACATAAGAACGGAAACCATAAAATACCTAGAAGCAAAGATGGGTCAAACACTACATGACATACACTTCAGCAATATCTTTAAAGACAGAGCACCCAACGCCACAATAGTGAAGGCAA